CCCGCTTCTGACGGCGCCCCCCTGCTCCTAACCGGTTCCTCACTTCAGAACGTCCGTTCACTCCTCATCCTCGCGCGGGACTCACCTCCTACGGTCTTGCCGAGGTGGAGGAAGACGAGGAGACGAGAGTCACCCTCCTAGGCGGCGTCGGCCCCCTCACCCGCGGGTGTGTCCTATAAATGGCGTCGGAAAGCGACACCGAAGAATTCTTTGATGCCCCAGAAGATGTGCACCTAGGGGGTGGCTACACTGTAGGGTAAGTAGCTATGGCCCAGAAGCCGGGCGTCACGGTCACCCGGCTTCCCCTGTGCCGTCCCCCTTCACCCCTCGCTGGTCTCGCTGTGTCCGCCACCGCTGCTCCTGTCTCCAGCACTTCAGTGAGTCTAGGATGGGGGATCGCCCACCTCGGGCAAACCCCTTCCCCTGGTGAGAGGCCTCTGGGGCTCCAAGAGAACCCCTTTTTCGTCTTGCCCAGCTTTCTGCGAGGTGGGACAGCTCACGTGCCTGAAAGCCGGAAAGCCGGCAATTTGTGTTTGTGAGGTTCAGAGCTTACCTTTGAAACATCCGTCTGGCCTTGGATTTCCATAGATTAAAGGATCAATAACAGAAGAAATTACATTTCCCGTTTTCTTCTTTCTTTTGCCGTTAACTTACCTATTTTAGAGGTAGCCGTAACTCGCCTGATTTACCATCTTTTCCTTGCACAGAAAGAAAAGGAGTGGCGAAAAGGGTTGGGTGTTTACTTAGGAAAGTCCTCTAGCTGATGTATTCTTGATCAACAGTGTTTTATTAAAATGCCACCTTACCGTGAGGCAAAGGAAATTGAAGGTCCTTTACCATTAGGGAGAATGCAGTCTTAAAAGGTAGCCGCACATAAATGTATACAACCGACTACAGAGATACAAACAAGTGCTGAGTAATCTGGTGGTTGAAAGGAGACCCACAGCTTTGTGCTTTTTATCCAATTCTGCAAGATGTTTTAGTGGTGATTAATATGGGAGATTCTGAGTAGGAAGTACAGTAGTTGGAATGCTTCCCTTGACCAGGACTTTTATTTACCCACTCCTCCACTATTCAAAGTTGGAATAACATTTATAGAGATTTTGCCAACCTCTTCTATGGACTCGTGTGGGACTAGAGGCAGTAAACTATGTAAGTTCATGGTGTAAGAACTTGAGAATTGGTAAAATTTGTATGTTAATGTAAGGCACTAATATGGTCAACTGCCATCAATTGTCAAGCTTGCTCCTTGGAAGAAAGACCTTGTTTGATGCAAGCAAAGTTATCCTTACATTCTAGAAGTCGTTTTAAAACCTAATATATAATGTATTACCAAAAAATTACAGCAATAAAGTCAAAGAATGTACATAGATAAATCCTGATGTGTGTGTTTCCAACAACCTTCTTCATACCTTCTTCATATCACTACTAGGGGATTTGGGGGGTGGGAATGGCCAATCTTGAGATTTCACTGAATCTCCTTCAAATTTAGTATCTGAAACAAGTTCATAGCTAAATGATAGAGGATAGAAAATACATTTGGATTTCCAAATACATTGGATCCCCTTGAAATTAAATTTTATTTTTGTGGTTTCCCCCTCAAAGTAATGAACTTTCAGTTCAGTTTAAATGAAACCTAATTCTTTAGTACTTATGTATGTGTGGAGTGGGGAGGGAAATAATAACTGATGTATAGGATTGTAATCAATTTAGAACTGTGTGAATAGTGGTTCTTTTCGAATGAATAAAACATTCAATTTCGAAGGACAGTCATATCAGCAGCTGTGTAAACTGCCAAGTCTAGCACCTGGCACAGAGAAAGAACTCAAATGTTTATTCCCTTCTCCTTCCTTTCTTGGAATTAGCAAAATTAACATCATACAGTGCTTACTTTGGGAGGAAGTATGCAAAACTTGGAGCTATTTAACTTGTCTAAACTGATGAGTCATTTTGATAGAATTGATAGTCATTTCTTCCCTCATGGGACAATATAGCTTCTCAAGCTCTTTGATCCTTTGATACTAGGTGAAAAGTAAAAACTTCTCTCTTGGGACCCAGTGTTCTAATTTTAACTCTAACCTGCCCAAATGTTTAGCCTGTTGAGCCCTGTGGATAAAACTATGTCAGTCTCAATTTCATGGCTTCATCCTGTAATAGTCAGGGGATTTGGAAGAGAATTAGACTCACCTGGAGAACTGCATCTGAAAAGAACTAACAGTACTGCCAGGATAGCAAAGGTTGGCATAATTAACATATCCTCTATCCTTTGTGACAAGTTTTGTCATTTGCATAAGGTACTGTGAGGAGACCTAGAAATGCAGTGAGAAATCTTGATCTGTGAAAACAGATGGGGTCACTAGATACCTGGTCATCAGAATATCTTCTGTCCTTTGATGTGAACCAAAGTAGCACAACATACAAACTAAGAGGTTAACAGACTGAGTTTGGGCACTTGAAAAAATGTTTCTTGCACCCTGGCCAGTGTGGCTTGTTGTTTGAGCATTGCCCTCTACACCGAAAGGTCAGGGGTTCGATTCCTGGTCAGGGCACATACCCAGGTTGGTGGTTCAATCCCCTGTCCTGGTGTGCACATGCAAGGCAACCTATCAATGTTTCTCTCTCACATTGACGTTTCTACCTCTCCCTTCCTCTCTCTCTAATTCAAGAAAAACATATCCTCAGGTGAGGATTTTAAAAAATAAAAAAATATATGCTTCTTGCTATTGTATGTTCTTGAGTACACAGACCATTTCACCAAATTTGTAGTAAACTGAGTGGGCAGTTGAGAGTTATTTCATTTTTGTTAATTAGTGGAATCCAAATACATAATCCATTTCCTAATACTGTTTTTTTTTTTTCTATTCCCCGCCAGTGGTATTTTCAGCTTTATTCTACACTTTGAAAGCAAATTTAATAAGTTAAAAATCAGTCCAGTTTTTTATAGGGAGACTTTTTATTCCAATGCAGCCTACTTTTCCATAGTGGAAGATCATCTCCACTTGATCAGCTTTGCAATATATATCACATTTATAATGCTTTATTTTGGTTGATACTTTAGGTCAGGTTTTCTTATCTCCATTTTTATATATGAGGAACCTTAGGCTCAAAGAAGTTAATGAATTGGCCTAGGAGGCAACACTTGTGACAGAGCTGGAATTTAAAACCAATTCTCCAGACTCCTACTTTAGTATATTTTTTCCAATGCATCATAGCAGCCTCACACTGTGTGTGTGTGTCTGAAGTAAAATGCTTTAGGACCTACTTGGTGAATTGAACTGATGCATCTATTTAAAACCAGCAGCCCAAACTTTTCAGTTCTCTTGACTAGCGGTTCCCACTTTCTCTTTCAGGAATGTGTATTTTGTGTTTTTTTTCAGATAGGAATTTTATAAGATCATGGTGTGCTACAGCTAGAAGGGACATCTAGTTAAACCCCATATAAAATGTTATGAAAACCAAAGCCCAGAGAGGGAAAGTGACTTGTCCAAGGTGCCACAGCAAATCAGTAACAGAGTTAGGACTATAATCCAGATTAGTTTCGATTAGTTTCAGTCTAGCATTGTTTTTTCTGCTACCATACTGTCTTTTGATAAAGCAGGAAGGGGAGGAGGAAGTGTGGTATAGTAGAAAAAAAGCCCTGGACTATGAGTCATTTCATTTCCTCATCTTTAAATTGAGGAGATTCTGAGAACCCTCCCAACTGTAAAAGTCTGTCATATTGAGGTTTAATAGTGTGCTTTTATTGATAAACTTTTGTTCTTAGGAAATCTTTTTTTTTTTAAATGCACAAACTCATTTTTATTACATTTGAGACAGTGTAAGGTATATAAATGTTACATCACTATATCGTACTAAGATAATACTGAAATTAATATAATACTATATAGCAACTATCCACAAATTAAAAAAAATTAAGCCCCAAGACTAAAACAACACACACACACACACACACACACACACCCCACACCCTATATGCACAGAGGATTTTAACCTCGAGTTTCTGTATCCCAAATGATTTATGGAGGTAATAATGGGGTAGAGAGGATTCTACAACCTATTTTAAAATTTCAAAAATCTAAACAGAAATTACACGATTACTGCAGATAGATGAACTAAAATTTCATTGTTTTTGCCTTGCCTGGTAATTACATAGATACAGAGCTGTACGATCAATCTAAAATAGGAAAATGAATTAACTGTTAATCAAAGTACTTTGTTTGCTTGGCAATATACATATGGTCCATGGAGGGTTGTAAATGCTAATAAATGTTAAAAAGGAGATTTTGGATGTGAAAAGAGGAAATCTTTCTATGATTTTATTTTAGTTTTTAAGCGAACAAACTTTATGCTATTGGGATATGATGCAAAACCTGTAGATTTCAAATTAAAGATTTACTGGGTAAATTCTATATGTGATGAATGTTCCTGCTAATTTGTGGATTATACATATGCATACTAAAGGCTGGCACTGAGAACATGTTATAAAAATAAATGTGACATTTTGAGCATTCTTTATTTAAAATTCTTTTTTCATGGCAACCAAAATATTTTGAGGTGTTGGAAGGAATGATAGAATGGTAACATTTTTAGAGTAGGGAGACTGGGAGATCATTTAATCCAGGCCTCCCATTTAACTGGAAGAAATCTAGGCTCAGAGAAGGGAAGTGACACATTGCTGATTAGTGGCAGACTGGGAACTAGAACTCCAGTCTCCTGGTTGCTCATTTATTCCATGTTGCCTTGTCTGTGGAAGGAGGGAAAGTATTGCTTGCTGAGTATCCCTGCTATAGGTTTTTGGCATTTACCCTATTAGCAGGGCTTTTGAGATGGTTTACTCTCATCTACTGAGATATGTTTTTTCATATCTTGCTGTCAGAAGACATTGTTCTAGGATCTTGAATTTTGCCCACTAATTTTCTCCAGGATGAACAAAAATTACAGAATAGGTGATCTAGGAACAGTGGTGGTTACTTATTTCATTTTATTTTGAGCAATCTAGTTAGTGTCAACTGCAGTCTATCTTTGTAGATTAGAGTAATAGTGAAATCTTGATTTTCAAACCATAAGAACTGAGATCAAACTGTCCTGAAGAATTTATCCTAAAAAACAAAAAGTTGCACAGCTTCCTTTGATGAAAACAGCTTCTCACTTTACTTGGGCATCATAACATTTCTCTCTGAGTTGAAAACTGATATAAGTTTTAATAAAAAATATTTGTGGATAAGGTTTATTTGTGGAAAGATTCCTAAAAAAATG